TGTCCAGTGGCCTGCAAACAGAGCTGAGCTGCTCACAGAGACAAACAGTGGCTGTGACGGCTCTGGGGAAGCTGGTGCTGTCCGGGACACTAGGAGGGAAATCTGTTAGACCCAGGACATGCATCAGGAATGTTCCAGAATATTCTAGTTTCCTTCTTTCCATTTTTAAGGACTTGGAACTTTGTGGGGGCAGGTGTGTAGTCTTCTGAGCAGTGGGAGGTGTAATGGCCACTGAGGCAAAGCCTCACCGAGTGCCACGGAATCTAGAAAGCGTGACCACTGAGTTCACTGCTGAGACTGGGGTCAGCCTTGGGAACAGAGCTGAGCCAGTGGCCTGTGTCCATCTGCGAGCAGGGCCTCATACTGCTGGTCTGAGCAAACATTGAGACCAAAGTTCAAGGGTGGGGGACCCTTGTAAGGCCTGTGAAATCATTTTGTCTGGCCCTGCCAGGGCGACCACAGTGGGTACCTGATATCTGATAAAACTGTAGCAGGCCAATGCTTAAGTTGATAATTTTATATGGTCCACGAATGATGCTGTCATCATCTAAATGACCCATGGAAGCAGCACGCAACAAGAATGAACTTTAGATAGAGCTTATTAAAAATAACCCACTTCCACAGCCAAGAACACCCAGGGCCAGGCGATGGCCTGACTGCGTCCTGCAGGTGGCAGGTCTGGGCTCCCTCCCAGCCCCACCACGCCCCCTCCCGGCTCTCAGGCCAGCACTGGTTCCGGCACAGCTATTTCTGTCCCCTTGGCTCCCTGGCTGCTCAGGAGCTACAGGACACTGGGGTCATCAACTGGTCTCTCGTCCCAGAGGTGAAGGCTTGATTTTTTTTTTGATAGGCAGAGTGGACAGTGAGAGAGAGAGACAGAGAGAAAGGTCTTCCTTCCGTTGGTTCACCCCCAAAATGGCCGCTACGGCCGGCGCACCGTGCTGATCCGAAGGCAGGAGCCAGGTGCTTCTCCTGGTCTCCCATGGGGTACAGGGCCCAAGCACTTGGGCCATCCTCCACTGTACTCCCGGGCCACAGCAGAGAGCTGGCCTGGAAGAGGGGCAACGGGGGCAGAATCCAGCACCACGACCGGGACTAGAACCCAGGGTGCCGGTGCTGCAGGGGGAGGATTAGCCTCGTGAGCCGCTGTGCCGGCCAAAGGCTTGATTTGAGGTGAGAAGAGTAAACGCTTTGAGGCTGACCTTGTTCAGGTTTTTAGGGCTAAAATACAATTAGGGTGGGAAAATAGGTGAGAACTTGAGAAAACATGGTCATTTATTTCCGTGATAAGATGATCAATGCACACCTTATATATTTAATTTTATACTGGAGCAGAGGCAACACTGAGAAAAGCGGAGTTTACTTGTAGATAACCAAGGATAACCTGTGCAGAGGGCTGGTGTCTATACACACACACATACCCCGCACACAGGCTTACCCGACAATACATGCAATGAGACAGGACGGCTTCCCCGCTCTCTCCCTCCTTTATAGAACTCTAATCGGGGCTACCACTCGACAATTCTTAGCCATCAGCACAGAAACCTTGGTCTAGCCCAGTCAACAGACACAGGCTGCAAACTGCTCAACACCCCTCTTAGGTCCAACAAGCAGGACTGAACTGTCCAGGCAGTCTCAAGGAAAAGGGAAAAAGGCAAAGTCCCCATGACTGTTCTCCAGGACGCGCTGTACACCTGTGCGTGAGAGGTGCAGAGACAGCGCAGACACTGCCTCATTGCCCGAGACTCCTGGGCTCTCATTCTCGGCCGCGTTCGTCACGTGACGCACCTTTCCCTGTTCCTCTCCCCCTCACAGGCCCCGAGCAGCAGGTGCCTTCCTCGCACGCTGAGGCACGTTCACAGCAGAGTTTAGAGTCTAGTAAGATAACTGTAAGCTCCGACAGGAAACTCTCCCACAGGTGTCTACACCTCTCCATCTTGTACTTCCCAGAGGTGAGAACCCCAAAACAACAAGCGATCACGCGCAAGAATTCCCTATGCAAGGCTTTCAAAGGTCATAAAGGAAAAGCAACGGACTGCGTGTGTGACTCTGCGGCCCCAAGCGGGTCCTCCGGGGCCTCGGCTAACCGCACGGACACGGGACCGAGTCTGCCCCACACCGTCTTGTCTTACATCTCTGCCCCTCTGCTCCCTTCTTTGGCAACAATGGACATAAAAGTGGGTGATTTTTAAGTCTCCTGCAGATCCACTAATCTGTGATTAAAAACCCTTTGCCAAACATCGTTCTAAAAACACAAATAACCTACAATCACAGCAGATAGGTGAGAAACTTCAGGGAACCAGAGAGGACGAGCAAACACACGATGCCAAGTCTCACCCAGGAGTTGACGCTTCTGAGTTTCAGACGGTGAGCGTTTGGAGAGCGTTCCCCCACCCTCCTCGGCTCTGAGCTGCCTCTACTTTTCTATAATTATTGCCTTTTGTTGAACATGTCTTCTACGAGAGCTGTGGACGCCTGTACAGGCGTTACTTCACGTGTAACAACACACAGGTGACTCCCACAGGCACCTGGCTCAGCCACGGTGGGGCTGGGTCCTCCCCAGGGAGCCTGGCTCCGGGTCCTCACCGCTCACTCCTGGCCACATTGACCACTGCAGAGTGGCAGCAAGGGGGCCAGTGGACAGCGAGGTCCCACAGAACTGGGGAGTGCTGGGGTGGGGGGGTGGCAAATGCAGCCAAGGAAGCAGGTGTGGATGACACACTGTGCCCCTCCCCCAGGATCCCAGTCAAGGTTCCCTGCTCACTTCTAACGGCTGCCTGAGACTAGCAGCCCAGCGCAGCCTCCTGGGGACCCGGGAGAAGTAACCTGGGTTCTGGGGGAAATGCGGCCTTGTGAGCCACGCCTGCTCTAAGCAAGGCTCTCCCCAGCTCAGCAAGGCCTGTGTTCTCCTCCCACCTCCCTGACTCGCTCACACTCTTGTGGGCAACACGGGGCAGGGACCTATGAGTGTGCCTCGCTGCCAACCCTGCACTCCCCGTACATCATCAGGCCGACAGGCGGTCACGGAACACCAGGCCGTGCGGAGCGGTAGTTCTGACTTGACTCTTACAGAACAGACTCCCACAAGGGCGTCCACTTAGTGTTGCACCCTCTTCTTGATTTGTACGTCCTCTCCTCTGGCCTCCAGACACAAGCTAATGAAATAACCTACATGCTTAGGCACATGTTCGAATGCCTACGTTACGTACCCCAGCTCTACGTGGGGAAGGCATGAATTTCCACGATGCAACTCTCACTGAAATTAAGAATGAGTGGGCAGCACCTGCTGCAGAACGAGCCCTCCTGCTGCTGATTTGTGATGAAACACTCTCGGGCCTGGCGCCGGGGCTCACTGGGTCAATCCTCGCCAGCGGCGCTGGCATCCCATATGGGTACCAGGTTCTAGTCCCGGTTGCTCCTCTTCCAGTCCAGCTCTCTGCTGTGGCCCAGGAAGGCAGTGGAGAATGGCCCGGGTGCTTGGTTCCCGGCTTCGGATCAGTGCAGTAAGCAGCCCCAAGGTGTCTGCAGGTAGCGCGCCCGACTGACAGCTGGCGGGTGGAGTCCCTGCTGCTCAGAGTGAAGATGCCTGTGTGCGCTCCACGGGAAAGGGACACAAGGCCTAGGGACACGCGGCAGGGCCTAGGGACACGCGGCAGGGCCTAGGGACATGCGGCAGCACCTGGGGACCTGGGCACGCTGGCTGCAGCTTCCTAGGTCCTGACGCCAGCCTGCAGTGCAGGCTTCATGCACTCAGCAACTCCTGGGTACTGGGTATGGTACTAGGTGCTGGGCAGACTGGGTTAAAGGTGGGTGAGGAGCACCGGGAACCCCGATCATGTGGGACAGTCATGGAGGTGCTTAGTGCCGAAGGAGAAGCCCCTGGTGCAGGGGGGGTGGGTGTGAAACTGGAAGGACCAGAGTGTGGAGCGGGGGCTGCCCAGGAGGAAGGGAACATAAAGACCCAGGTGGGGAGAGCCGGGCGCCCCCTGGAGGTGGCAACAGGACACAGCCGGGTCAGCTCACTCAGGTGATCGGAGGGAAAGGCACGTATTCTCCGGAAAGCGTCTGTTAACATGCAGGGAGGAAGCTCCCGGCTCAGGTGTCCTGGTGATTCCTGCACTGCACTGCAGTGGGAAGTGCTCCTCCCGGGAAGGAAATCCAGAGGCTCTCGGATAAAACTGCTTCCTGGACACCGAATGCTGAATTACCTGAACTGACTCATGAGCTAACTGGTCACCCTCACACACGTGGCACTCAGCCTGTGGCACAGTTTAGGTGGGAGAAGCCTGATTCATGAGCTAACTGGTCACCCTCACACACGTGGCACTCAGCCTGTGCACACAGTTTAGGTGGGAAAAGCCTGATTCATGAGCTAACTGGTCACCCTCACACACATGGCACTCAGCCTGTGGCACAGTTTAAATGGGAGAAGCCTGATTCATGAGCTAACTGGTCACCCTCACACACATGGCACTCAGCCTGTGGCACAGTTTAAATGGGAGAAGCCTGATTCATGAGCTAACTGGTCAACCTCACACACAGTGCTCAGCCTGTGCATACAGTTTAGGTGGGAGAAGCCTGATTCATGAGCTAACTGGTCAACCTCACACACGTGGCACTCAGCCTGTGGTACAGTTTAAACGGGAGAGGCCTGATTCATGAGCTAACTGGTCAACCTCACACACAGTGCTCAGCCTGTGCACACAGTTTAGGTGGGAGAGAAGTAAGAAATAGAACCCTGTGTTACTTACGATCACCTGGACCCACCTCCCATTCCTGGTGAGATCAGCAATGAGGCTGCTCATCAGTTTTCCAAAACAGATTCATGGGTTTGTTCCTTACACAAGTACAGTATATGTGGAGAGAAATGTGGGAAACATCTAACTTTTCTTAAATTTAACTTAAAAAATCAAGCTTTGAGTGCGGGTAATACATCTTTCCACACTCAGTGCAAGACTGCGATAAACAGCAGAATTCGGGAAACCACCGAGAAGACTCACCGTCGTCTCTCAGTACCAGCGGCGTGGGGGGCCCCAGGACTCTCTGGTTCGTCACCGTGTTGGTGACCACGCAGGTGTAATTGCCGACGTCCGACGGCTCCACTTTGGCAATGTACAGGTTGCCCGTCTCCTGCGAGACGAAGCGGCGGCTGTCCTGGTAGGAGGGGCGCTCGTTGAAGATCCAGGCGTAGCTCAGCTCTGCAAACAAAAGGAACCGTCACTGCTGTCTTCAGGACAGAAATAGCCACGTTAGACATTCACGCTGTCACCCAGTAACCCTTCTGTCCTGCCAAACACAAACGGAGCAGTCACAGCTCCCCAAGGCGCCCGGCCATCTCCTCAGACTCAGGGGTGCAGTGCCAAGGGAACCAGAAGACCCACTAAGCACTGACTGCGCGGGGTCCAACTTCTGAACGTCAAGAGCTGCTCCAGTGCCAGGCCCAGGGGTACAGCCGTCACACGGCAGTGAGAAGCCAGCCTGGAAACTGGCTCATTGCTCTCATCATGCAGACGATCAGTATCACGATGACTGTAACGCCACACAAGGCTGCCAACACCTTCGATGGTTTTCCATTCACTGAGACACTCTGGCACAGGGAAACAGGTTTCATCCAAACTCCCAGCCCTATTTGAGACAGGATAATTCGAGTCTCCATCTGGTCTTCTCTCCCGGGCTCTTATTCTCAACTCAAATTCTCATTCTCTTTTTAACTCTGAAGCTGAACACTTCTCTGTCGTTGGGGTGGGGAAGCATTTAACAATACAGCAAATACTCATTAAAGACACATCAAGTAGCTGCCTGACCTAAATCCACCAAAAAATAAGACTGAAAAAGCTGTCATATCCACAAGGGAGTGCACGTAAAAGAGAAGTCCAGGAGCAATATTTTCCTTTTTTTAAGGGTTTATTTATTTATTTGCGATGCAGAGTTACAGATAGAGAGAGGCAGATAGAGAGAGAGGTCTTCCATCCACTGGTTCACTCCCCAAATGGTTGCAAAGGCTGGAGCTGGGCAATCTGGAGCCAGGAGCCAGGAGCTTCTTCCAGGTCTCCCTCGTAGGTACCAAGGCCCAAGCATCTGGGACATCTTCTGCTTTCCCAGGCCACAGCTGAGAGGTGGACCCAAAGAGGAGCAGCCAGGACACACACCGGTGCCCACACAGGATGCTGGGGCCGCAGGCGGAGGCCCATCCCACCTCGCTGCGGCGCCAGCCCCACAGCATCGTCTCCGACCTTTATTCTCCCACAATGCCGGGGGCTGGCTGCGCTAGGCAGTCGCACCTGAGAACGTCTGGATTCTTCTTGAGCAACAGGCAAGCCCTGGTGAATAGATGCGGGCCCTGGTTTCCATCCCACAGCACTGCACACATCAGGGAGAGTGTGTGACTCTCCACGGAGAACCAGGAAGGCACACCGCCGAGCTCCAGTGTGCCGTGACACCTGTCACTCTGCCAGCCCGGTCTCCAGTCCAGACGCACTCAGTGTCCGTGGGAAGGGGTAGTGAGGCCACACAGCTCTGTAAAGAGAGCACCTATCACGGAGCAAGGTCTTGTTGTCTAATCCTCCAGTGAGTGCCGGTGGTGAGCGACTTCAGCCCCGGCGTGTGGCAGGAAGCGTGTTCTGTGTTCCCAGTCCACTGCAGACACGGGGACGGGCATGCAGATGGGTTACAACAGTCACGTGTGTTATCACAGAGAGACGTAGCCACGCTCACGGGAGAACGGCTCATCACGCCTTCTATGTGCGCAAGCAACCCGTGCTGAGGCCAAGAACGCGCTCGGTGTCACAGATCACGGCTTCCCAGAAGGCCACCCGCCACCTCCCCCTCCTCCACGTGGCCCTGGGAAGAGGCCGCGGCCAAGTCCACTCCACACGGGGCCTCCCCTGAGAGGGGGTGACGGACGCTGCCCAGCAGCCGCGGCGGGGAGGAGAGGCGCGGGAGGCAGAGGGGCCCCAGCCTGAAGAGCCGCACCCAGGCTGACGGCCGCAGTGACACTGAAAAGAAACTAAAGGAAGGTGCTGTTCGGCCTATTTTAAAAATAAGCCAGTTCTCTGGGTTTCACTCTTCTGTGACTGGAGAGCCTGGTGCTTGTGCGCCAGCACTTCCTGCACTGCGTGCTGGGTGCCGCCTCCTTGTCCTCTGTCCCACCTGCCAGAGTGCACAGGGTGACAACGACCACACGGCTTTGAGAGGCGCCGTGCAGACACAGTGAAAGAGGGTTTTACGCTTGTTCTCGGGACCAGCATCCCACATGGGCTCTGGTTCGAGTCCCAGCTGCTCCACTTCCCATCCAGCTCCCTGCTTCATGGCCTGAGGAAGCAGCACAAGACGGTCCAAGGGCTTGGACCCCTGCACCCACGTGGGAGACCCACATGGAGGCCCAGGCTCCCAGCTTTGGCTTGGTCCAGCCCTGGCCGTTGGAGCCACCTGGGGCGTAAACCAGCAGACGGAAGATTCCTTTCTCTGTCTTGCTCTTTCTCTGTAACTCTGCCTTTCAAATAAATAAATAATCTTTTGAAAAATAAACTTTTTCTTGCAGGACTGGCAAGAGATTTTAACACACCAACATCCCTGAAGGTTCTGAGGGAGCTTGAAGCCCCCGGGCTGACCCGGCCCTGGACTTGCCCCCTCCCCACAGCGGCCTACGTCAACCAGGACCGCACTCAGGCAGTTACTTCAATTCAACAGCAAGAAAAACAGTAACCGCAATCCAAAGGTTTGTAACTGTCTTACTTAGCTTTGGGAAAATCATGAAGTGACATTATCAGGAACAACAGGAAACAAGAACACGTGGACTGAGAGTGGAGGTGAGTTTCTGGAATGATTACATTATGACTATAACACCGTAACCATATTCCCAGGGAGGACAGGGCTGGCCATGGCGGGGAGGGGGGCCCCCACCCTGCACTGAGACCGCAGTAGCACCTGGCCGTCCATGCCACTGAGCCCTGGCGTGCGGTGGGCACACACAGCCCTGGTGCCAGGCCCAAGGACTGCCAGTTCCAGACCACACAACCACCATCCTCAGCTTTCACAGCTTGGAGCTGCCTTCTGCTGTGCGTGTGCGTCAGGACAATCAGCCAGGTGCAGGGGGCTGCAAGGAAATGACCACGAAGACATCAGAGCAGGGCAGGGGAGGGAAATTAAAACGTGCCTAACGGGCTGGTGATGCGGCATGGTGGGGACAAGCCCCTGCCTGCGGTGCCGGCAGCCTATGTGGGTGCCAGTTAGAGTCCCGGCTGCTCCACTTCTAACCCAGCTCCCTGCTGATGCGCCTGGGAAAGCAGCATCAGGATGGCCCAAGCGCTTGGACCCCTGCAGCCAAGAGGGAGACCCAGAAGCAGCTCCTGACTCCTGGCTTAGGGTCAGCCCAGCTCCAGCCGTTGTGGCCATCTGGGGAGTGAACCAGTGGATGGATGACCTCTCTCTCTGCCTCCCCCGCTCTCTGTCTGTAACTCTACCTCGCCCTGCTAGCAGCACTCGGCCCTGACACTCCCTCCAGGAGCAGAGCTCTTGCCGTCTGCGAGTGAAGAGCTGTGATTGCTACATCACTCAATAGACAAGAATCCAGATCTATTTTTATCAGGGCAAAACATTAATCCCACGGGTTATGTGAAATGTGATCAACAGTCCAAAAAATAAAGCCAAGTAAATAAAGTAAGTTCCCATGGGCTGCAACAAGCAAAAAAATGTATCGTGCTTCGTTTGATTTCCTCAGGGACCGGCGTGCAATATTTCTACTTACTCAAACCCGACAGCTTTCTTTTGATAAGTTTTCACACACTAATTGCTCTGGAAGTGACAGACAGTTCCTCTCCCATCGGCATTTTGTAACAACCGAGCTGAGAGGCGCTGGGAACGCAGATGATTGAGGGCGTGGGGACGCTGCCGATGGTCCCTGGAGAGTCCCTGGGTCTCATCAGGATGGGGCATTTGGCTGTGGCTGTCTCAGCATGGCAGCCAAACCTGGTGGAAATCACTCACACCTCACTCTCTTCGCTGGGCTCCTTTTTCATGTCTCTGGGCACACAGCAGAGGATGGCTGGCTACGGTTTTTAAGAACCAATCAAGGCCGGCACTGTGGCGTAGGCGGTAAAGCTGCCGCCTGCACTGCCGGCATGCCATATGGGTGGTGGCTCGAGTCCCAGCTGCTCTACTTCTGATCCAGCTCTCTGCTGTGGCCTGGGAAAGCAGTAGAAGATGGCTCAAGCCCTTGGGCCCCTGCACCCACATGGGAGACCCGGAAGAAGCTCCTGGCTTTGGGCTGGCCCAGCTCCAGGTACTGCAGCCATCTGGGGAGTGAACCAGCAGATGGAAGACCTCTCTTTCTCTCTCTCTCTCTCTGCCTCTCTGTAACTCTGCGTTTCAAGTAAAAAAATAAATCTTTTAAAAATTATTTTCATTTTTATTTGAAGAGGAGAGAGAATGAGGTGGGGAGACAAAAAGAGACATATCTTCTATCCCTGGTTTGCTCCCCAAATGCCAGCAACAGTGGGCACTGTCCCGGCTGAATGCTGGAGGCTGGGACTGTGTCTGGGTCCCCCACGCAGGTGGCAGGGACCAAGTCCCGAGCCATCATGTGCAGCCTCCCAGGGTCCGCAGTAACAGGAGGCAGAGCCGGGACTCAGACCCAGCCGAGCCCCTGTGGGATGTGCACCTACAAGCAGGGTCCTACCTGCTGTGTCCAGCACCTGCCTAACCCTCAAAGTCCCAAATCCGAACAGATCTCGAGTCCACCCCTTCCACGTCCACAGAGCGGGAGACGAAGGTCTGGCTAAGTCCACGAGCATTTCCCGAGTGGCTCGCGTGGGGCTTCTGGCTGCCGTGGCCTTCAGGAGGGCTGATGCCGGGGGCGGGGGGTGGGGACATCGACCTGCTGTTTCTGGAGTCAGAGGGGACCAGGTTCCCTGTCTGTAGCTGCAGGGTCTACGGTGAGATGACCTCGGAGTCCCTTCCAGCTTTCCAATTCCCTGAGTTCTACCTGTACGTCACCAAGCCTGACACCCTCATCTGACAAGGGGCAGGGAGGCCCAGGGAGCCGGAGACGTGCTTAGAATCACACAGGCAGTGCAGTGCTGGGAGGCCGAGGATGAGCCCCGCATGCACCTACCAGGGCTGCGCCCACCAGGGCTGCATACCAGCTAAGCCGTGACTGCTGGCACCGGGTGGACAGGAGGCCTGGATGCCCGTGTTAGCA